TTTGTCAGCAAGGATATTGTCGGTGTCCCAGATGGCGCGTAGGACTCTCCACGTCCACTCTCGAAAGAAATGACTTTATGAGCGAGTAAGTTGTTGGCGGGTTCGTCATGTCGGCGCCACGTGCATCTCACCGGAAAATCCGGGTATTAGCCATGAAGGAGTGTAATAGTTCTCGAAAAGGTTTGTTGTGTGCAGTGGCGTCAGCCATACCCTGCCACACACATGTGGGGCCTGTAATGGACCACCGAGCGCCACCGACGTGAATCAAGCAAGTTGCACAGAAACGTTCCACCGTAGAAGAACGAACAGGTTGCCAATAGTCACTCAAACCAGCCAAGCAGGAACGTGTGTAGAGGCAACGGTCGGAACAGCTCGCCCTTAGTTTTGCCCGCTTGGCAGCAGTTCAATCAAGTCAGTGATGCACGGGAGGCGGCGCTCTCCTAACTGGTTGTTCGTGCTGTACCCGGGACGGAAATTGCTCAAAGTTGACTTTAGTGGATCTAGTTATAACGGAATTGAGAGCCATGACGAGAAGCGCTAGGACTTCCCCAACCCAAGCGACGACGCAGTGATGTTCCTCTCGGGTAAAATCGACGACGACGGCCGTCAAAGGTGGGAGCGAGACCGAGGACAAACAGAAAATGACAGAGCCTGCGCTGGATCCAGAGAGTGGGACTACGACAGTGCTGCCGGACGGTGAGAAGTCCCAAAGTCACGGGATGGGATCTCGAAAACGTCGGTACGAAGTTCCAACCTCGCCCCCAAAAGTATGCAACGGCCGTGAAGCGAATCGGCGACACTGGGAAGTTTTGCCTGTACTTCCGGTTGAAGGGAGTACATCGAAGAAATGTATTCCGACGAATATGAATGGAAGCAAACAAGGAAGAAAGAGAGCGTGAATAGCGGTGGAAGAGATGAAGTGGAATCCAGATCCACCCCTGAATCGCTCGATAGTGCGCAAAGAAGAAGCGGAGTGCTGAGTGCGAGAACGCTTCAATGCTGTACGACGCCGGTACAATCGTGAGGCCAAGCCCATAAACCGCAAAGACCACCCAACGGTGTGATGCATGGACACGTCGATAACAACGAACGAGGAGTACTACAAAGAAGTGTTCTACAAGAATATGCTAATCTGGATGACGTCATCTTTGTTTTCGCCGACGATGAGCCAGAATACCTGGATACATTGGAGAAGTTCTTCGTTCGCGTTGACCACTATGGGTTCAAACTCTCCAGCTGTTTGTGTGCGCGGTTAATTGGATTCAATGACGGAGTACGCACAGACGGTCAACCCCCCTCAGCTGTGTCTAAACAAGACAAGGCGCTGAAGGAAATGGCAAGAATAAGCATCGCGTCTGGAATTCTGGTGGAATTATCCGGCGATGAAAAGCGAGCGTTTAATGCTGTGAAGTCCAAATTACTACAATCGGTAGACCTGTCTCACCCACGTGTTGGCGCCACGATGTGTT